CATGCTCTCTGTCTCTCATTCTCTCTGTCTCAAATAAATAAATAAAATCTTTAAAAAAAAAAACTCCACAGGTACGGGGGCCTGGGTGGCCGAGCCGTTAAGCGCCTGTCTTCGGCTCAGGTCATGATCCCAGGGTCCTGGGATGGAGCCCCACATCGGGCTCCTTGCTCAGATGGAAGGCTGCTTCTCCCTCTCCCACTCCCCCTGCTTGTGTTCCCTCTCTCGCTGTGTCTCTCTGTCAAATAAATAAAATCTTTAAAAAAAAAAAAAAAAAAACTCCACAGGTAGTTTTCTAAGGGACACATTCATATCTTCCTCTGTTGTCCTTCTTCAGGAGGCAAAAACTCAGGCAAAGGCTACAGATCCAAACTTCCGGCCTCTCTCAAGTGTTTTGCATTAACTGTTCCACAGTACAAACACAATCAACTTGGTATGTTTGAATGCTTCATTTTGTTTTTTCAAAAATGTTTTAATTAAAACAAAATAATCAGCCATGCTAAGCACATTGTTGTTTTTTAAAGGCCACTTTAAAAATGACGACAGTACCATGGAAATAAAATTCAATTGTTTAGGAAAATGACAGAAGTTTGTTTTCTTCTTCTTCTTCTTTTTTATTTTTTTTTCCTGGCTGTTTTTCTGTGTCTCAGGCTGGTGCCACCTGCTGCCTGGGCTTCCCTCTGAGAAACGGATCTCTCAACCGTTTGCTCCAAGCAACATCTGCATAGTTGAACAAACCATGGGCCGGTTCCAAGGAAGACACTATTTTCTGTATGTTGCACACACTGAACCATACCGAATTTCTTTTTAAGGCATTTTTTAAAAGTATTATTAAAGATCCGGGGTGCCTGGGTGGCTCAGTTGGTTGAGCGACTGCCTTCGGCTCAGGTCATGATCCTGGAGTCCCGGGATCGAGTCCCGCATCGGGCTCCCTGCTCGGCGGGGAGCCTGCTTCTCCCTCTAACCCTCCCCCCTCTCATGTACTCTTTCTCTCTTTCTCACTCTCTCAAATAAATAAATAAATCTTTTTTAAAAAAAAAAGTATTATTAAAGATCCAAATGTACGTGCATGAACTTCCCCTCATGTATCTTTTTTAAGTAAAATATACATAAAATACACCATTTTAACCATTTTTCCTGTATGTCTCTTAAAAATAGTAAACAGCAAAATGTAAAGGGTTCATTTATTCACCAAAACCAGGTCTCCTTTTCACCTTTCCAGACCAGTGAACACTGGAAAAAAAATCAATACATATGGACCTAAAGCACACCTTGGCAAAGTATACCTCGGGCCCAATCTGACCTACTCCCTGGTTTTGTACAGCCCATGAGCTAAGAGTGGTTTTTTAAATTTTAAATGATTGAAAATAATCAAAAGAATAATATTTTGTGACATATGAAAATTATATGAAATTTTCAAATTTCAGTGTCCATAAAGTTTTATTAGAACATAGCCATGCTCATTCATTTATATTTGTCTCTGGTGCTTTTGCCTTACAAAGTCAGAGTAGAATAACTGCAACAGAGACAGTACAGAGCCTACAAAGCCCAAATTATTTACTGTCTGGCCTTTAAAAACATGTCTGTCGACACGTGACCTAGAGCCTCATTATAGGACCCCAAATTCTAAACTAAAGATGTTATATTGCCCATCACCAAAAATACCTAATCTGTATATTGTGAAGTTATTTCAAGCAATACATTTTATCTTCATCATTTATTGCTGTTGCTTCAACTATGCTAAATAGTGATATTATCAATAATATCTATATTAAGTACACCAACTTGCTGTTTATTAGTAGTGAGCCTAAATGGAACTTCTTTTTTGCTTTCAGATTTATAAAAGGTTTCACTGCATATCTCAAACATTTAAATAGATTTGTCTAGAGGCCAAAACAAATTTTCATAAAAACATCAGAGTTCTTTGATATCAGGTCAGTTTTGACAGTTTTTGTTTCTTAAAATACTCAAAGCATAAAAATAATGGGTCGACATAAAAGTATGAAAGCATGTCAGCTCACTTTACTCCTATCAGCCCCTGTGTTGCATTCAGGTAAACTAACATTAATGATGTCCCTAAGAGGGATAGGGCTCTCTACAGTAGGAAGCTCTCACTGTTCACCGAACTCGTGGGTTTTATGGCAAGACATACTGCTGGCTAACAGGATGAATGCTAGAGGAGGATTTAGAGGAGAATGAGCATCATAAAAGGTGTTCACAGCAAATGTAACCTGAGTTGAGAAGCTCTGTTGGGGCACACCTGACAGCACCCAAATGAAGTGAAAACCCAAGCAGGTAGCTTGCCTTAGGTGGAAAACTCAAATAGCACAATTCTACCCAGACTTCTCTGCTTTTCCTACCTCTAGGCTCTCCCCTACAGGTCAGTAAATTCCAGACGGGAGCCCACTTCAGAGAGCCCATCAGCCCTATGGCCCTGGCTGCCTTCCTCCTTGAAAAGGGAGTCTAGATTCCACTATCAACCTCTGCCTTCCTCCTTATCAGTTGTGAAGAAAGGGAGAGAATCTCAGGAAGAATGGAGAGGAGAAGGGAGATCATTTGGGGTTGGTTATACACTGTAATTAGAACTAGCATTGATGGGGAATGAGCTAACTGTTTTTATAAAGTCAGCATTCAAAAATGCAAACCACCAGTAATTTAAATATTACAAAATTGTGCAGACTATAAGTATTGAAATACTTTTTTCCATCCACAAAATTTTAGAGAAAATTACAGTATCAAAAAATGTAAAATGGTAAGTTTGGCATATCCACAAGGATTTAAAAAACTAGTAGACAGCCTTGGGACAGGATGTGATGCTTTAGACCATGTGGTATCTCCCTAAAACTGCTTCTGGAACTAAAAAGGAAAAGTCACTAAAGCCCTGGTGTACCTGGATGGTAGGAAAAATTGCTGGTGAGGCTTACTGAGGCAGGAACTTGGGCCACTTATCATAAATCATCTCACAATGGTTATTTATTTGTCCCTAACTCGGACTCCTAAATAAAAGTGCACCAAGGTTTGAAGTTCAAACTGCCTAAGAGCTGCTATATTTGACCCCTCCTAGCAAAGCAAAGGTGCCTGAGGAGAGGATGCCACCTTCTAACAAACATAAGCAGAGCTGGCTCACTTAACACTTTTTAACAAACACAAGCAGAGCTGGCTCACTTAACTACTACTCTGCCCTTTCCAGAAGGGGAACCAGTTGATTTCCACCCATACCTCTCTCTCCGTGGAGGACATTAAATCCTGACCACACAGATGGCAAAGTGGAGCTGAGGGGTTACTAGGTTACAGCTATGTTGACATATCCTGGCTCTCAGAAAGTTCCTCCTTCATTCCTCACATACAGCAAATAGCAGAAGTGATCAAACTTCTGTAGCAGTTTTTGTAGTAGTCCCCTTGAAAGCTGCCGATCACTCAGAAACCACTTCTTGAGCCTAAGGTTTACAGTACTTGGAGACCCCCTTCTACTGATCTAAAGCCAAGGTTTGCCTTTTACAGGGCTTAATCAGACTGGAAGCTCATAGCAATCTCAGGGCAAATGAGGTGTCTAGCACTTGGTGAACTGTGAAGCACTATAAAAAGTATTATTAAAATATGTTTATTGGCTGCCTTCTATATGTGGGTGTTACCTGCAGTATATCATTTTATCTTCACAACACCAGGTAAAGGGAGTTCTCGCTATCCCTCCTTTACCGATGAGGAAACTGAGGCTTAGAGAGCTGAGTCATGGCCCAAAATCACATAGTAAGTGACAACACCCAGTCCTATCATTTTCACTCATCCAAGCTGGTAAGTAAACAAAGCAACTCTTGAGTTTTCCTTCGGCAACAAAATCCTGTCTTTCCAACATCACAGTCTGCGACTTTGGGTGGAGAACCCTCAGCCGGTTTTCCTACTCCGGCAAACGGGTAATGAACCCTTCCCGTCCCTTTCACGAATGCCCAATTCTCAACACCCAAACAACCTGCAGAGAAATGTAACTGGGCCAGACAACGCCCTCGTGCCTGCTCTTCAACTTGGAAAAAGTTCTGCTGCAAAGAAGGGTGTGTATGGAAGCTAAGCAAAGTCCCAGCTTCCATCCTAGTCCAGGGCCCCACCTCAGGGAGACATGTCCTTGGCCTTGGCCTGGGGAGTGAGTGACCCTGTTTAAAGTGTAGGATTACCTGGGAAATGGGGCTCTGCATTGCGCTTTCGGGATAAGCACCCTAAGATCTGTAGGGGAGGCTTCCCATCACCCCTTCTTTTCCTCTCTCCAAGCAAGGCCCGCACCTGAGTTTTGGGAGGCTCAAAGCGGCCCGGGAGGTAAAGAGGAGTCCCGGCTGGATACAGCGGGTCGTCCGGCGACCCGGACCTGCCTCTTGCAGGGCGGGCAAGTCAACTCGACTCCTCGCAAGGCAGAAAGTAGTGTCGGGCAAGCGGACGCAGCCGGGAACGGGGCAGAGAGGCTGGTTGTCCGCTGCGCTCGCCTCCGCACCAGCTCCTGAGCCGGGAGGCGCGGGGCGCCGGGGCGTCGCCGTGGGGCTTGCGGAGGGGATCCTGGCCCCGGGGGAGTCCCTGAGGGGCTTGGGGAGGGGGTGTAGCGTCTCGAGGCGGGGTGCGTCGCTGAGAGACAGGGCAGGATCCCGGGAGGTGCTGGGGCAGAGGGGGCATCCCGGCCCGGGGGGAGTCGCTGAGAAACTTGGGCAGGGGGTCCTGGGTCCTCAGGCTGAGGAGACGACCCAGCCCAGGAGGCCTAGCTGAGGAGTTTGGCTAAGGGATCCCGGGAGTAGGTCCTGAGGCCAAGAGGGCGCCCGGCCCCGGGGGGCGTCACTGAGGGACTGAGGGGGAAGCCCCGGGTTCCGAGGCGGGGGACCGCCCCGGCCGGGGGGCGTCGCTGAGAGGCTGGGAGAAGGAGTCCCGGGAAGTAGGAGCTAGGTGGTTGGGCCCCCCAAGGCGGGCCGGCCCGCGTCGCCCCTCAGGCGAGCTCCGCGCAGGGCGGGCGCCGGGGCTCGCTCACTCACCGGGTCCGGGGCCGAGGCCGGGGCTGGGCGCGGGCCGGGCCGCCAGCGTGAGCGCGGCGGCAGAGAGCAGGGCGAGGCGGGCGGCGGGCGGCGCCATGGGCCGTCAGTGCGGGGCCCCGGGGCGCGGCCCGGGGGAGAGGGGGCAGCGCGGGGAGCCGGGGGCGGCCATGGGAGCGAGACGCGGGGCTCGGGCGTGGCCCCGCCCCGGCCCGCCCTCCCCAGCGCCGCCACCGCCCCGGCCGTGCGGGGCCCGCCCGGCTCAGCCCCGAGACCCGAGGGGCGGAGCCGACTGCGCACACCCTCCCCTCCCGGAGCGCGCGCCGCGCCTGCCACTCACGCTCCAGGCTCCGCCCACACGCCCTTCCACACCTGGGCCCGCCCCCACGGGGCACGTTATTGGTCCGACCGAGGGGCGGGACCAGCAGGTGAGGGGCGGGGTCCGGGGCTCCGCCTCCCAGTGCCCACGCGGAGCTTTGGCTAGGTTGGAGCAGGCCGGGCGCCCAGTGACCCTTGCTCCACCCTCGCTCAGGTCGTGACCCACAGCGCGGGCTCAACCGCAGCGGTAATAATCAGAACAGCAGTTTGCAAACCGCTTTTCCCTGCTTGGCTCAACGTAGTAGTTTAAAAAAGAGCGCTCTGGGGGCCCCTGGGTGGCTCAGTAGGTTAAGAGGCTGCCTTCAGCTCAGGTCATGATCCCAGGGTCCTGGGATCGAGCCCCGCATCAGGCTCCCTGCTCTGCGGGAAGCCTGCTTCTCCCTCTCACGCTCCCCGTGCTTGTATTCCCTCTCTCGCTGTCTCTCTCTCTATCAAATAAATAAATAAAATCTTTAGGAAAAAAAAAAAGTTCTTAAAAAAGAGCGCTCTGGAATCACTCTGTCCGGGTTCACATTCCACGCGGTCACCTGTAAGACCTTGAGTAGGTTTAAGAAAAAATAGCTCTCTTACCTCAGTTTCTTCATCTGTTAAATGGGGGCGTTGATAGCATACTCCCAAAGCAGTTGTACTAAATGAGGCAATGCATAGGAACTTTCACACGCGCACAGCAGGAGCTTAGTAAACGGTGAGTTCCTTCTACCATCCCAGTTCTTGCAGCCACAAAGGAGGCAGCATACTGAACCCTGGTTCCGAATCGTATCGCACATCCTTTGTCAACTGGGGCAAGTTTCCTGCTCTGTCTGAGCTTCCGTCGTCTGCAAAATGGGAATAATACAAGGCCGTCACAAGATTCGATGAGATAGAAGAAAGTAAAGCGCCCAGCATAGAGTCCGGAAGTGGACGGGGCAATGAAGCTTTCTTACAGACTGGGGTACTGAGGCCCAGAGAGCGCGTGACTGAAACTCTCGGGCCCCCGCCCCCAAGGTCTTCCCCGGCTGCACTCTGGGTCTGTCCCGGGCCTCCCTCCTCCCCCGCACTCCCCCAGGCAGAGGGGGTTTTCCTTCTGCTCCCGCCTAAAGCACCGCGGCGACGCCCCTCGGGGCAGGTCTGGGCGGCGCGCCGGCCGCTTTCAAGTCCCTGGTCCCGGGCTTGCAAGTGCGGGCCTGTGCCCTGCGCGGCGGCGGGAGCTTCTGCCCTCCTGTGCAGACTCGCCGCACCCAGAGCGGGGCTGGGGCGGTCCCTGCCCCGCGGGCTCCGCGGCCCGCCTTAGGTACGCGGACGTTGCGCCCCCTCGCCCACTCCCAGGGTCTGCTTCCCCACAACCTGCTCCCCAGCTGTTTCCAGGACCGGGCCCCAAAGGTGCAGATACCTCCCACGAGGCCTCTCAATCTTGGTCCCTCTCCACCCACAGGACCCAGAGCCACGGCAAGAAGAATCTTGTTCACTCATTGTTTTCACTGTCTCTTTCCTGAGCTCAGGGATCCTCTTGGGCTCCTTATTGGCTCAAGGGGACACCCCTCACCCAGTGCCCAGCCCCCCCCCCCATCCTCCACATCTCACCTGGTGTCTCCAACTCACCCTCTCCTCTCCACCATCTTGAACCCTTTCCACCTCCAAAACCACCTTCCTCCAGCAGGACCTGAGAACTCTTCACCTGTAACATGCGTCCTTGAAGGTGCAGGCAGGAGGAGCACCTTGAAGGAGAATGAAATGAGAACAGCAGGTGAAAACATCAGCCCAAAGCAGACACTCAATAAAGGCGAACCTTCCTCCATTCAACAACTATTCAGTGAGGAACATACCCAGAGCACCAATAAGACAAGCTGGTCCCTTCCTCCTAGAAATAATGTGAATTTCAGAGAGCAAAAAGTTCTACAGAGACAAGCAAATGATGTTGTTGGTGAATGGTCTGTGAATTGTTTTAAACAGAGTGCAGGGAAACATAGTAGCAAAGCAGGACACAGCTCTCTACAGTTTACAAGGTTCTTTGGCATCTCATCCTGGTATCTGAGGAGGAAATAGGAAGGCGCAGACAAGAGGTTCAAAATAGGGTTGATGTGGCCAAGTCTGGGGATTTATGCCTCCTGAGAGTAGCTTCAGCCTGTCCTGCCCCCCCGCAGGAAAACACTCCTGCTGAGTGGGTACCAGCCCCTCCCTTCGGTTGGTTCTCTTGGCCTTGTGTCCAACCAGAATCCAGAATGGGCTATGTAATTTGCAGGGCTGGGTGAGAAATTAAACTGGGGCCCCTTGTTCAAAATGATTAAGAATTTTAAGATGCCTATGACGGAGCGTTAAACCAAGTGTGGGGCCCTTTGGACTTGGGGGACGTGACGCAGGTTGCCCACCCCGCGAAGCTGGCTTGTACAACAGAACTCAGATACAGTGTTCAAGCCCCTCTCCCGCTGGCTGCTCTAAGGAACATCCCTCTGACCTTCCCTAGGCCTCCCTCCCCTCTCTGCTAGCTTAAAGCCCAGCACAGGAAACAGTGCACAGAGGCTAAAAATATAGCCTAGTGGGTCTAGGTCAGGGCACTTAACAGCTCAAGGTCTTTGCTCAGTTACGTGGTCCCGGCCCCTGGCAAGAAGAAGCCTAAGATATTCATTTCAATGCTTCACATGCCTCAGCCGCTTAGCGGATTTATTTCATGGAGAGAGTGAGGACATTGACTGCAGCCCCTGGGCCTCCAGGAAAATGTTGGTGTCTGTCTGTTTGCCTACTTATGCTCTGCCGTCAAGCCCTTCAATTCCTCCGAGGGCAGCAGGATTTGCCAAGAAGCTGGGAGAGCTCAGCTGGTGGAGTTTAGGGGATCCTGGTATCTTTGAAACTCCCGTTGGAATAATTTCTGCTCAAAAGGCACCATGTTGTGGAGAGAGCCCTGGGTAAGGAGCCCAATTCTAATAACAACGAGAGCAAACATTTACCGAGGACGTTGCTAAACTCTAGGCAGGGTATGGTGCTTGCCGTCACACTTCACACAATGCTTCCAGTAGCCCTAGAAGAAAGGCACCCTCACCACCTCCCTCATACGGAGAGGTTGAATGGCTTGCCCAAAGGTCACATAGTGGCGGAGCTGGGCTTTGAACCCAGGCGGTGGGACTCCAGGACTAGATTCCTACATTGGTGAATTGCCTACTTGTCCTTCTGGGGTTCTGGCAACAAATACTTACCGAGTGGTCCAGGGGCACGATTAGGGTGAGGCAAGTGAGGCATTCACGTCGGGCACACAACTTTAAGGGGCCCAAAAAACTCAGTAATCAAGATAAATAAATAAATATTATTTAATAAGTTGTAAAAATATACTAAATGTATTTCATAAACATTATTTCAATGCAATATCTTTAAGAAGATAAATTAGTGCCCTCCCGAAATTCATGCTGCACGAAATATCAAGAATCTTTAGCCTCTGGCTCGGCTCAGCACTATACTGTTACCGATCCTGTCTCAGATTTCTGAGTCAGAAAGCTAGTGATGGGAAACTCAAGAGAAGTAGTGGTTTGCTTGTTCTGATGGGGATAAGGGTAACGAAGGAATTTTGTTTTGAACGTAATCGATCAGAGGCATCCAGATGGCCCCGTCAGAGAACTGAGTCCGGTGGGAAGGGGTGCCAGGGTGAGCAGGGCACCCTTATTTCACATACTTGGCCCATGATAGGTGCACGTTCAGCACATGTGGTTTAAATCACTGGTCCTCTGAGTTTGCATCATGGTTCAGGAATCTTCTCTAATTCTCTCATCCAAAGTTTTTCTCTTCTTTCCTAAACCTTCTACATCACAAACCTCAGATACGTTCCCACATGGGTGTGGAAGTTTACTGCTTGGGTATTAAAATAAAAACATCTTCCAAGGAAATTAGAAACAACTAAATTCCACTAGAATTTGGGGATGGGGCATGAAGGGGGAAGACGAGAATAATTATGAATTGGCTCGATTTCCTCGTTATCAACGGACCTTCCAGAAGGAGAGTGGGAGCAAAGAGGAATCAAAGAGAAGAAAGGTAGTAGTCAAGGAAAGAAAGAAGAAGAAAGATTATAGGAGCTAAAAATATGGTGAGGAAAGCTTGGCCAGGCATCAAAGAAGGGCAGATGTGTTTCCAAATAGAAGTGGTGGTTTAGATATGTCAGGAAGTACAGCTCCAAACAATCGGTGGAAAATAAAGGCTATCTAGACTGAGCTCAGCGGAATAAAAAGGTTCATTGGAGAATCAAACTGAGGAATAGTCCTTTCAACTACACCGAAGCCCTGCTGCCTCAACCCCAGGTTCTCTGGACCAAGTGTTGGCACCAATGGTGGAAACTCTTGCCCCATAGTCTCGGGACCCTGGACCAAATAGAGTCTTTCTATCTTGACTTTATAATTCTGAACAATCTCTGTTAAAGACCAGTCACTTTCCTTAGTATATCCTCAGGTACCCTCTCTCCTTGCCATCTCAGGAAGCACGAGATATTCCGGGCAACTCCCACAACCAGAGGGAAATGTAGCTCCTGTAAATATAGCACTTCTGTGAGGTTGAGGTATCTGACAAATGTTTAGTGAAGGTGGATCCTGGGAAGAGAAATGTCATGCTACCCAAGTCAGATCAGAATCATTCCCCACTTCAAGAGGCTCATTGCTTGGCCTCATGAAGGACCCGAGATGAGGTTCATATCAAATGTTGAGTTATGTCACTCATACCGCGGGCAACAGGGGCTCAAGAAAGGGTCAGCTGAGCGAATGGGCCACAGTAATAATATTAATAAGAAAATTATTTATTGAGGCTTCCTGTGTGCCAGGAGCCATACCGAGGGCCTCCCATGCTTTGTCCCATTTCATCCTCACAGTGATCCTGGGGTTCGCACTGTTACTATCCCCATTTCACAGATGAGGAGAGTAAGGTTCAGAGATGTGAATTCACTTGCCCATCGAGAGATGGATCTGGGATGTCAACTCGGGCAGACCACCTCGTGAGCCCAGAGAAGATCTCATGTCAAGGATAGGACTAGAACTGGGCCCAGGGGTGGTATGTGGATGGGCTGACCAGATGAGAGGCAAAGCATCACAGTGATAGCTCTGAGTGGTGAAGAGCAAGGGTGGTGTAGACCTTGGTTGAGACCAGCCTTTGTTGGTTACTAGGCTTTGGGATCTGGGGCATGGTTCTCGAGCAACCTGTGCCTCAGTTTCTTCATCTGTAAAGTAGGGCTGGTGACAGTGCCCAAACTCATAAGACTGTTGGTGGCATTTCATGAGATGATGCTTGGGAAGTGCCTGGAACAGTGCCTGGCTTATGGCAAGCTTTTGATAAATTCAGATTTTACTGATGTAGGAGGAATAATAGCACAAGCCACGTTACCCTGGGTTAGTTCTAAGGAGCATGGGGGTTACCTACTGGGAGTGAGTTACACTGCAGGGGGAGGAGGCAGATTTTGATTGAAGTTAAGAGTGTGAACAGCTCTGTGCCGGAAGAGGGAGATTCAGCACGTTCCTCAGAGTCTGAGTGGTGTCACCTGGCCAGGCATTGAGTAAAGAAGGCCTAGGAAAGTAAATACAACAGATGAGTATCTGGAAAGAGGAGGTGTGGGAAGGCCAGCCTCGAGAGGAGAAACAGAAGAGCTACTCCCAGAATTCCTTTCTTGCCCGGGAGTTCCCTTCTGTCCCTGCCCACACAGGGCAAAGGCAGACAGTGGCCCAAGAGCCTGGTGCCACCCCTCCAGGATTCACCAGCTTTGAAAGGATGCTTGCCTGCCCAATCTCCAGACATGCGCAAGGCCTTCCCAGAGACAAACCCTTTTCCAGCACCCTGCTCTAAAACTGACCCACCTCTTGGGAGGTGAGGCCAGGGCTCCCCACTGAATGGGCCCCATTGTCTTCCCAAGCGTCTGTGGGTCCAGATGCCTTTGGCCTGGGGGTGGTTCCACCGTGGCCTGCGGTGCGGTCTGCCTGCAGACTTTGATTCACTCCTGGGACAACACTCAGAAAAATCAAACAGGCAACACATACGATTCCAGGAGCTCCTGCCAGCCTCATACTCTGTTTTTCCATCCCTTCCCTCTCCTCCCCCTCAGGAGGGAGCCTCCTTTGGCATTTTGTGTATAAAAACTCAAAACCACCAACAGGACGAGCACCTGATAAGGAGCGAGGCATTGCCCAAGAGTTACCAGGAAGAAGCGTCTTTGTTCCCGTTTCAAGCCCTTGACATTGCTAACAGCTCTAATTACTGAATTTGCCAGGGGATGTAAAATAAAACCGCATCCCAGAAACCATGTAGTCTCCCAGGGAGAGACATGTAGGGAGAGGTGCCCAGGGCGGCAGGAACGTGTTCTTTCATTTCTGGTCCCTAACCTTGGCAGCTATTCTGAGAATGTAACAGTACCTTCTTTATGTGCACGGACCCGAGAAGGCCACTTTTGCACATGTAAGGATCTATCTCACTACCTGCATCCACAACCACAGTCTGCATCTTTGACTCCCATTGTGTGCAAAGCAATGCTTCTTAAGAACGTTAGGACCTTCCTAATTCACCCAAGCCCTTCTGGAGGGAAATGAGCGCTTTGCCAGCTCCTGAGGCTGCAAGCACAACAAAATAGAACTTCTTCCAGCCTAATTTAACTATAAAATCTGATGATGTAACACCCACCCACCCCCACATCACAAACCAAAGTGACATCACAAATACTAGAGATCATGGTTCAAAACTGCCTGCGTGTGAGCCAAAAATCTAAACAAACTGCAATTTGCTCATACATGACTGAGGCAGAGAAAGACAGGTGACTAGAAATATTAAAACAAACCAAAGCAAAACAACAGCAACAATCAAAAAAAGCAAAAGAGAAAAAGGGAAAAGAAAATACATATTTCTTCCCCCTACTAAGCTAGCTAAAATAAAATTTAAGGCAACCGAAATAATGGTAAGGTGATTTTATTTTTTTTTATAGATGACATTTCTTAGAAGGCCAGGTCTCTTTAAGTGTGTGATTCTAATTCTATCCAAATTGTTCTCTTGTTCTTGGCTGGTCCCAGGAAACGGAGGTCTGCGTCACTTACGTTGAGCTTTTGCCTTTATGGGCCCCAGTATTTCCCTGTTGAGCAGCCTTTCTTGGCTCATGGTGGTCTGATTAGAAAGTGTGTTCAGGGTTTGGCAGAACTTTACGTGGTGTCATTTCTGTCTTGCAGCCTGGTCGAAGGGTGACTACAGCTCCAATAGGAATCACAAGTGATCCCATCCCCATTCCTTTCCTGCCACAGGTCCCTAAGCCTTGCAGCAGACAGGAATTGTCTTTGATTCCTTGTAAATGCTCCCTAAACCTCTGCTTCCAGCCCAAGCATGGCTATGTTCTTTGAGAGCCTGAATATCATCGTGACCTTGTTTCCTTACTTGGTACAAGATGCTCTGGTGAGCAGGAGAGCAGATGGATAGATTTCTGAGAGCTGCATAGAAGGAATGATGTGTAAAACATTGTTTGTATTAGGCCTTCTAGTCTCTGCTTGAGAACTGATCTCTCTTTTTTTTATTCCTTTTTCTCCCCTTGTAATTCTAGCATCCCATCTATGTGAGACGGGATCCCAGCCTCCCCACCTATGGGCTCCGTCAGTCTATCTTGCTGAACACCAGGCTTCAGGACTGCTATGTGGACTCACGGACCCTCACCAACATCTGGACGGCCAGGATGTGTGCAAAGCAGAACATCAATACCCCAGCACCCAGGACCACCTCTTCTTGGGAAGTTGTAAAGGATCCCTTAGTCGCCAGTTCGTTCTCCCTGATTAAGCTGGTGCTCAGGCGACAACTGAAGGATGAATGTTGCCCAGGACCAAGCAGGTTTGGAGAAGCAAAGCCCTCGAAGAGATTAAAGTCCAAGGACAATTTGGCAATAAGAGCCACGCCGCGGGGCAGGATAAGAAACTCCACTGGTTCCAAGGGCAGACGGCCAGTGGGGCAGCGCCCCGGCTCACCGAGGCTCAGGAAGCCGGCAGGAGGCATCAAGGTACCGGGGGTGGAGAAAACTTGATGGAGTGGGGACAGGGCAATGTAAGTGCGGGAACACTTAATGCTTAAGAGATTTATACAGGGGGAAGGAAACCCTAAAGTTAAAGACAGGATTGTGGAGGTGGGGCTGGGGGCAGCGGCACGATGTAATGGAGAGAGTACCCGATCTGGGCTCGTGCCGTCTACCCTCTGCCTAGTTCTCCAGGAGGATGGAGTGGCTTTCATAAACACTTGACGTGAAGGGAAAATAAGGGTGGGAAAGGCCCGGAGATGGGCGGTGCCCTTAGGCACACACACCCAAACACCGGAGGTGAGCCTCAGATCTTGCCATGAACTTCCACCTGGGGAACCTGACGTCTGGAGAGGTCCAGCACTCCACGGGGCCCGCAGAGCTCAGAGTGCCCCCTGGAGCTAGGCTGTCCCGCTCCAAGTCCCGGCTCTCACTGTAATTGAGGACACCCGGGGGCTTAGCCTCTTCGCTCTCTGTCATCTACAAAATGGGGAAAACGGCCTCACCCCCATAGGGTTGCATGAGGGTTGAGTTAATACAATGCACAAGGTTTTTTAACAGAACCTGGCGCAGAGGAAATGCCTAAGATCCTTCGTGGCATTCAGTAGAGGACACTGTGGTTAAGAACCTTCTCACTGTGCCGACTTGGGCCAAACAAATCCAGTTCCCTTGCCTTTAAACCGGTCTCCTGCTGGGGCACCTGGGTGGCTCAGTTGGTTAAGCGACTGCCTTCGGCTCAGGTCATGATCCTGGAGTCCCGGGATCGAGTCCCGCGTCGGGCTCCCTGCTCGGCAGGGAGTCTGCTTCTCCCTCTGACCCTCCCCCCACATGTACTCTCTCATTCTCGCTCTCTCAAATAAATAAATAAATAAATAAATCTTTAAAAAAATCCCAAAACAAAAAAATGGTCTCCTGCTGACCTTACAGGGTTATGGGGAATATATGAAGGAATTCAGGGAACCAGAACACGCTAGACAAATGGCGGTGGTGGCTGGAACCAAGACACTGGAACATAAATCCCAGATAATTATTCGGAGCTCCCTTCTCAAGTTTTAGCTTTGACTTCTCTGCTTTCTTCCTGGCTAGAGTAAAGAAAGTTCAAAGGAGAAAAAAGTAACCGTCCGCCAAGATCTTGAGAGCAGATATGCTGAACATGTGGCTGCCACCCAAGCCCGACCCGGGGACACTGGGACAGTGGCCTGGAAGGGCCAAGCGTTGCTTCCCGAAACCAGAAAGAGACAGCACTTGTCGGAGGACAAGCTAACCATCCACGGCCTCCCCGCAGAGGGTTACAGGGCTCTGTACCACTCGGTGGTTGAGCCAATGCTGTGGAATCCTTCCGGGTCCCCCAAGAGGTACAGCTTGGAGCTGGGCAAGGCCATCAAACAAAAGCTCTGGGAGGCTCTGTACAGCCGGGCTGCCACTCCTCAAGGGGCCCAGGACCCACTGCCTGGCCGGAAGCAGCTGGGGGTCCACGAGGAGCCTGTGCCCAAGAAATGGCCCAAATTAAAGAGTGAGAAATAGGAACGGGAGCTCACGGGGTTAGGATATTCTCTGCTAGATGTCTGAAAAATAAACACCACTTTGCACCTTCCACATAATCTCGGAGTGCTTTACAAATTAGTAACTGCCTCCCTGGGAAGTAAGACAAATGGGTACGAGATTCATTTCATACTGGTGGCCCTTCTCCACTCTCATGATTAGGTCATGTCGAGGGCTAAATGCTTGGGGGTCTTTTCCCTACGAGCCCCTTTCCTTAATAGGGGTTTGAGGGCCTCTCGGTCTTCCAAGGCAGGAAAAAGCCAGGCAGACGAAGTCAACGGCCCACGTTCCTCATTTTTAAAAAAGCGGACTATTGTTTCCCTCACAGCCTCCACATAGGGCTGAGCAGAAAAGCCACTACCGTCTCAAGGACATAATCCCACCCGCTCTCTGTAGCAGACGCTCTCTCAGGATAGCACCCCAGGCCCCAACAACACGAACTCTACTCTACCAGGGGAGGACATCCTCCAGACGCTTACGCGAACAAGGCGGAAGAGTTAAAGGCACTGCGTCGTGCAAACCTCTCCTTGGTGGGATCTGTAGACCTTTACCAAACAGAGCAATGACAACATGTAACACATACTTGATAAAATTGTATTTTTTTTTTTTTACAGTCATTTGTACAATTTGTTACAAAACCATAGAAGACTACAACTTGTTTGAAATCATTTTTGGTCGGCAAATATGTAAAATCTGTGTGCAATTATCATGTATTTACAGGGCCTCATGTTAGTCATTTTCAATGATTATTCCAACAATGTCACACTCTCAACATAAGACATGGCTTAAGATAAATATATTAGTAAATAAATATTCTGAGAACATATTTCCATAAATGAAATGTGCTGCTATACACATACAGAATATACATAAGTTGTTTTCTAGCCTTTAAAACATTTTAAAAAAATGGTAATGTTGGAGAAGGAGCCCTTAGACCATTTTATTACAAAATCTTTACAGCAAAGTCTTTACAAAATATCTTTTAAGTGCTATGGGAGAAATTAAAAAAAAAAACAACATTTCAAAATAGTGTCTTGTTAGACCAACACAATAGTTTATATAAAGAATAGAAAAAGGCAGGTCTGTTTAAAAAATAATACTCTGATTAGTAATTATTTTTTAGACCTCATTTTAAAAGCATTAGTCCTGCATGAGCTTTGAGTAGAAACTAGCAGCACATAAGGGGGGGGTCTGAGTGGTGGGACAGCAGATCGGGCTTTATAAAATGGCTTGGGTTTCAAGAGAGGTGGGAGAGATTGAGAGTCAGAGCCAGCATAAAGAGGTACCTTGTTGATCAGAACTCCCAAACCCCCATTTTTTAGCTGGTTCCAGTACTCTTCAGTTTACATGGCCATCCCATACCCAGGGCTGGGCCATGGGACCGGGCCTAACAGTCACAGTCCGGCTTGGGGGGTGGGGTGGGGTGGTGATTCTCAATGGAAAATGTGATGCTCCCAGTTTCCAAGGCTATAAGACCCCAACAGACCACTGACAGGCCCCTGACAAAGATACTGGTCCTCATTACCGGAGTCTTACAGCTTCAAAGAAGACATTTCTTTTGATTTGAACGGCGAGGCAAGAATATAGCTGGTTACTATATTCTGGTGACCTCCCTGTCTGGTGGGCCAACAGAAATTTAAGACAATGGCTGATATTTAAAGTTTTAACATTTTCATTTTTCTGCTTCTACTGCCCTGTAAACTACAAAAATGTGTTTCTTTTGCCATCTGTAATTATTGCTCTTTCAAATGAAAATTGGACACATTTATTTTAATAAGCCCCGTGGAAGCCACATTATCTACTCATCTATTTATTGCTTAAGGCCGTTGAGTAGTTTCCCAGACCAGGCTAAAGAAAGCCACTTTGGGGGGTATGGTTTCAGGCAAAGGAGAGAGAATACGCACTCAAAGGCATTAAAAACAAAGCAAAACAAACAAACAAAAAACACAAAACCACAAACAACAAAAATCTCAACATAAACTGCTTTTTTGCAGTTTATGTTAGAAGCCACCCCCCCCCCTCCCCGCACCCCTTCCCTAAAACCACGTAATGCAAGCTGTTGTCCTCAGCAGCTGCTACTCCTGGCCCGAGAAATAAAGGCGGCCCGGATCACATGTCGACAGCTTAGACGCTTCTCACACCCTCGCCAACAGGTGTGCTGGGCATAGACCCGGGGGGAGCAGCCCCCAGGGACTGCACCTCAGAGGCTGGAGGACAAATCTCACCGCACTGAGTTCCTAAATGGCAAATGGCTCGATCATTTGATGCTGGAATTTCTTTCAAAGCCTGGCTAGAAGTAGGTAAATTTCCTCAGCATAGACTGGGTTAAAAAAAAAAAAAAAAAAAGCAAAAAGGATTGGGATACAGTGCGATTCTCAGTCAAAAATATTCTCGTGTGGACCCTGGCCTGACTGGAGAGGGGTCATCACGTCTTTGATGGCAACCCTGGGTGGTCTCTATTTCCCCACTATGGGGGGGGGGGGCAAGGTGGTGAGGTTCCTGTTCTGCAAATGAGCATTTCAGATGACACTAAATGAGTAAGATGAGTAAAAGTGACCAGAGGAGTTAGTCAACACAAGGGCTAATGGGTTTATTTTCTTCTTAAAAAAACAAAAACAAAAACAGAACTTTCTTAAGAACAAGAAGTACATTGGACAAAAAGGATGACAATCCCTGATCTGAAATAGCTTTAAATAGATTCTCCCTTTTACAATGGAAACATCTTTTTAAAAAATGGTTTGGGTTTTAAAACTCTCCCTCCCTCTTGGAAACAAGAACAGCAAAAGGCTGGAAAAATATACAAAAGCCTACCCTTTGGGGCTAAACTATCTGATAGTCTCTTTCTCTGTCTCATGGAGAATCAATACGTAATAGTGCATTAGGTAGAAAGGATAGTAGACATTTGCAGGCGAGATGAGCAACTTCAGCCATGAGGCAGAGGGCTGAATAACCCTGAAGCGGTGCTTCCAGAGGGAAATGGGATGGGAAATGTATCATTCAGACGGAGCTCGGTGCTGACCCTGTGGGGTCCCCAGGAAGGCAGCCCAAGGACACCGGCTGCGCCCACACGGACCCATGGGCACAGACGCGCTCTAGCGCCCTCTGTCCCTTCTCTGGGTTACTGAGAGCACTTTCCACCCCCCAGACACTAAGGCCGCAAAACTACATTCCTCCTGGGTGTCTGTCCCCACACACCCCTTCAAACCACTTCTTCAGCCAGTGGTAGGAAGCCCGACTTCAGGATTGTGAACTCTGTCCTTTTACCCAAGACGATGACCCGAAGGAACAGACTGAGGAACACTGGGCTGAATCGTCCCTGTCACCCTGGGGCTTGCGTAGCGATGGCTTGTCCCAGCTCCTCAGAGCTGCAGACCTTCCGCCCTATCCCTAGCTGTTCCCGTCAGCTGCCCACACGGGTGGGCTGGAGAGGTACGGCTTCTGAGAAGACCCGAAACTTTGTACGTTGGGATTTGCCACAAGAAAGAAAGAGGCAGCATTGCATTGTTCCTCAGAGTTTGTACCCATATCAACTAGCTTTACTTCAAGTTTCTGGTTCATTTTCTAAGGCAGGTGTAGCCCTGAGCTTTTCAAAGGCCTGAGCTCCCTCCAGGGAGACAACAGTATCTACACATGATGTGGTTCAATTAATGCAGCAGTGATTTCTTTTTTTTTTTTTTTTTCAGCAAAAGTTGGCGGCTAGGGTTCTTTAAAATATATATTTAAATAACTTTTTACATTTACATATAATATCTTAAAAAACAAAGCACAGAACTCAATCCCACACACCTCAGAACCCCAAGCACACACACTTTACAAAACAGAATATACCATGTTATCAAAAGAGGCAAAAGACTCAGAGAATTTTGTCTGTTGGTTTGTTAATGGAGGGGTGGGGGCAGTTTGCCACAGGCGGCTCACATTTTGGGTTGAGAAGGAGGGCTCGCTTTATTACCACTTTTGTGTGTTTGTCAAAGCTAAAAAAAAAAAAAAATCTTTTTTTTTTTTTTTTTTTCTGAAGGAAGTCAGAGCTTGGGAGTCTCCATACAGTCCCCATTTCCACGGAAGATTCCTTCTGAGCTCAGGCTCCCGTGCCGCCGTCTGCTGGGGGAGATCTCTGTCCTAGAGAGAGAGACAAATCATCAAGGGGACAGAACTGGCACAACACACAGGGTCCAGGCAGGGGACTTGGGTGCCCATCCCCGGTGTTACAGGCTCTCAGGGAGTGACAGCTCACACCACCAGACGGACCGTGTATAGGGCAAAGGGCTGAAGCAAAGCTCCTTTGCTGAGAGATCCTCATGCTGTGCTGGGGGCGCGAGTGCCTCCCAGCCAGGCAGCCTCCCTCATCTGGAGGCACAGAGACTTCTGGAAGCCCTTAGGTAGCAGGAAAACACAACATCTGAAGATGAGCATCAGGTACTGCTGTAGACACTGGGAAGAACAGAGAAGAAGATCCCTTCCCAGAGCCCACAGACCTCAGAACCAAGTAGCCTCAGCCTGCCATAGCCTGGGAAGGGAAGAGAGGCTGTGATAGTGACCTGGGGCAGGGCTGGAGGGCGGGATTTCAGCGGAGAGCTGGAGAAGCGGCAGAGAAGTCTGGAAGCTGGGAAGAACTTGGCTTGTTGGGGGAACAGGGCAGAGGCCACAGAAGGCTCAAGTGGCAAGGAGGTGAGTGAAGCAGGAGGTGGTCCGAGGGGAAGGCAGGGGGCCGATCATACAGAATGGGGTGAGGGGTTTATATTTTTAAAATTTAGAGGTAATGGCAAGTCACTGAAGGGTTTTCCAGTGTAAAGACATAGATTTCAAAAAAGCCCCTCGTGGCTCCTGTGCAGACCAGAAGGCCACTGCCTTGGCCGCGGAGAGAGGAAACGGGCCTGCCTGAGGAGACAGCAGGTGGGGATGCAGGGGAGATAAATTAGGGATATACTCTGGAAGTGGAATGTGTCAAAGGTGCTGGAGTGTTTATTACTGACACAAAATGTTTGGAAACTTTAGAGCAACTTGATGAGGTTTGCTGAATGGAATGAAAATTCTGGACTTGGATTCTGCACGTCCTTTGCTAAGTTTCACTTTTCTGGGGATTCGATTTTCTGGACGAGGGGCAAAAAACAAGCCCACGTGGTCCTCACAGGCAGGATGAGAAGCCCAGGAGACTGGAGTATGGAGGGCGCGGCGGGCTCCAGGAGAGTGCCGGGTTTGAGCCCGAGCACCTGGGTGGGGAGCCTGGAGGAAGGTGGGGGGGACGGCACGCAGAAGGAGGAATCTGAGAGCGCTGCAGTGGAACGCAGAGCAGGGCCGGGGTGGGGACTAATGCTTTGGAAGTCATCAGGTGCAGATGGCATTTTTAAAGTCAGGGGCACAGAGGAAGTCACTGAGAAAACCACCTGCAGAAAGAGGAGGACCCCGACTCTGGCCTACTGTGCTCTCCTGCTCTCACCTGCAGCCTCGGTGGCGGGGGCGCTGGACTCCTGAGTGTCCTGGGGGGCCCCGGGAAAGCTGGCCCCGGAGGCCTCTGCACCCTCCGGAGGGCAGCCGGGCGGGAGCGGAGCCCTGGCCTGGCAGCAAAGAACCGGCTCTTCTTCCTGGCTGGCTCCCAGGCCTCGGTGGGGCCGCAGGGCATCCGGGCCCAGTGTCCCACCCCAGGGCCCGAGGCCATGGGTCCCTTGGCAGTCCGAGGGCAGGCCCAAGTCACAGTCCACATCCTCCGGAATGATGGGGATGCGCCGGCTCAGGTCCCGGGTCCCCGGGAGGCAGCCGGGCGGGGGCTCCTGGGCGAGCGTGTACTGCACGCTCACCGAGCAGTCCTCGGCGTAGCAGCCACTGCCCCCTCCGCTGGCACGGGCCACCTGCTTCTCTTCATAGAAGCAGCAGGGCAGGCCCTCGCGCTTCACCCCTTCTGTCCTGGGCAAACGGTCTGGGTGAAGGCCGTGCAGGCCCTGGGCGCTCCCCGGCTGCGCCTCCCCGCCCGTGGGGCCCAGGAACGACGTGCTGCCCCCCGCCACTGCGACGCTGGGCTCCAGTGTGGAGGGCTGGGGCTCGCAGCAGCAGGCACACGACAGCCCCTCGCGGGCCCCCTTCCAGGTCCTCCTGAGGTCTGGGGCAGCCCCGGGAGAAGCCTCGAGCCCCACTTCTGAGGTAGAGCTAGCGGGCCCCCTGTGCTCCAGGGAGGAGCTGCTGCTGTAGTTCATGTCCAGGCTGCAGGTGGACAGCTGGTCCCCCGAGGGCGAGGCAGGCGCGGGCCAGGGCTCTCCCCGCCCAGCACCTTGGCTGTGGGCCGCCGGGAGCTCCTCGGGCGGCCCCCGGGCCGAGCCGCCCGCGCCCCCCACCTCGCCGGCGCGACAGGGGCTCCGGCTGCGGTAGATGAAGGGGTCGTAGTCGCTGCTGAGGGAGCTGCGGAAGGTGGAGCAGCTCCCGTACACGCCCTGGTTGCTGACCTCGGTGCAGTCCAGCACGGAGTCGCTGGAGGAGCAGTGGCACTGGCCGGAGCTGCTGCTGCTGTCGCTGCCCGGGCAGTCGGCCAGGTAGCCGCTGCACGCCGAGCGGTGGCCGTGGTAGCAGCTGAAGCTCGACGCGCTGCCGCTCTCCAGGCGGGACGGCGGGGCCACGTGCACCACGGTGGGGAAGAGCAGGCCCCCGCCGCCGCCGCCGCCGCCCCCGCCCCCGCCGCCGCCGCCGCCGCTCGCGGGAAAGGCACGCGCCGGGCCCCTGGGAGCGAGGCTGGCCGGGGCCTGGCCCTCGGGCTCCGGGTAGCTGAGGCCCCGGAAGTAGTAGTGCTGGTACATGGTCTCGTACTGGGAGAAGCAAGCTGCCTTGGAGAAGCTGCGGCCGCTGAACTTGGGCCTGCGGAAGGGGTGGGCTGGGGAGTAGGCCCGGTGCTCCAGGCCGCAGCGGTGAGGGGCCAGGGCGGGGTCCAGGTGGAGGGGCGGGTAGCCGCGGATGTAGCTGGGGGTCTGCGGCGAATAGAGGCCCTGCTCCCCGTGCCGGTCCACGGTCAGCAGGGTGACGGGGTTCCCGTGGGAGTCCATGCTCGTGCGGGTGGGGTAGGCCGGGACGGCGTTGGTCCTGTGCACGCGGCCGGGGTAGTGCACCGGCAAGATCACCCTCTGCTGCCGGCTGCGCGCGAGGCTGCTGGTCTCCACGCACACGGCGCTCGGGTTTCCCTTTTGCTCTGGGGAGAGGCGGGGCGACAAAGTGAGCGGGGCTGGGGACGCTAGTGCTGCGGGCCGGAGGGGTAACCGAGGGCAGAGAGCGAAGCGGCGGGCTCGGTCACGGCCCACGTGCCCCGTCTCAGGACGCGGGCCCTTGCTGGGCCCTCACCAGACCTGGCCACCCCGCAGAGGCTGAGCCACCCCTCCGGCTGCGGGGCAGCCACACCTGAAAGGGCCCGTGTCCCGCCTCCCCTGGGCTCGGCCTGCCAAAGACGCCAAGGGAGCCTGCAGCCAGCAACAAGGACACCAAGATGAAAGGCACTTTCGCTCCCGGGAAAACAGCTCTCCGGAGTGCGGCCTGCAGCCCGGCCCCCTCATCCGGTAGGACCGGGACGCCGGACGACAACACAGCCCCGCCACCTGGCGCTCGTCTCTTGGGGCGCGGGAACGACCCTGCGGTGCTGGGCACCGGAGCGTCATCACGCTCGTTCCTGCCGAAGCGCCGGTGGGCCTCAGGCCTGCAGAGGCCGGCTGCCTTGCTCACGGTCAGGACGCCGGTTCTTGGGAGAGCCAGAATGTGACCTCGGGGCGACTCTGCGGGCCAGGCTCTCCTGAGGGTTTGGAGGCCGGGTGAACTCCAAAACCCAGGGCCCCCCACACCTCCAGGTCTGGAGGGCAACGCTCGCTCACCAGTCTGTAGCCTGTCCCCCACACCCGCTAGGCACTCGGCAGGGACAGCGACCCTGCCGCAACAACGGATGCAGGGGACAATTACCTATGATGTTGTGGCGACAGTGGGGGCAGGTGTGGTGCTGCAGCAGCCAGGGGTCCACGCACTTCCTGTGAAAGCGGTGAGTACAGGGGATAACCCGCAGCTCCTGGGAAGGGAGAGATGACACGCAGCCTGAAGGCGGGGCCCAGGCGGAGAGCAGTCCTGCCTCCAGCCCCGGATGCGCTTCTTCCTGAGGAGCCCAGCATGGCCGAGAAACCCTGTTCATCATGCCCGTACCAGCGGCTTCCTCCTCACCTGCCTCCCGGTCTCTAGCCACAGGTGGACACAATTCCCTGAGTCAGCACCCACGTGTGGCTTCTAGGGAGAAGCCCCAACCACAGTCCTCGGCGTCCAGGAAGGAAGCACACAGAAGCTGGCTCCTTTCTTGTTGCCAGAGGAAGGCATTCACACTCATGCCACACACAAGGGAAGACCAAAGCCGAGAGCTTCCGCAGCCCCGGGCGTGCGCAGACGAGGCTAGGTACCCCCCAAGACCTTATGTATCTCTGGGATGGTGGCTCCCTCCAGGCCTTGCAACTGGGGATGAGTAGAAAGGAAGATGCCCGGGACTTGGAAGAAAAAGCTCTCCTGTCCTCTCCTTTGCTTGATCGTGAATACTCACCTGAGGGAACATCGTTTATAACACAGCAGCCTATGTAGAGAGGAGGTGATGGAGTTTTCTGAGGCACAACCACCTCTGGAGTTCCTGAGCCAAAGCGCCCTCCCTCCCCCGACCAAGTGTGCTAGTGTTACTCTGTTTTTCCATTCTCTGACCAGCTCAATACAGTAATGCTCAGACTAATACCTAACGTTGTTCCTGACCGTCGGACAGTTCTACCTGTGTTTTCTTGTGTAACCTTCGTGATCACCTGAAGCGCATGTCAGTCTTGGGCCCATGTCCCAAGCGTAGGCACAGAGAATGAAGTCACTTGCCCGAGATCACAAAGCTAGAACCTGCCTGGGCCAGGACTGGAATACAGGCAGTCTGCACCTAAAGACCATTCAAGACTCTCTTAATTTAAAGGCCTCTGCAAAAACTCATTTTCACCCCATAGTCTACACGGGAGTGGAACGCTTTCATTAAAGGGGCATCGAATGCCTGCAACTGATTCTTGAGTGGTTTGCTCCCCACTCCCCAAAACGTGTGTGTATGCACGCCTCTGTCTGCGAGGAGACTGCGCAAACGCGGCACGATGTTAGCAAAGGGTGATGTGCGGGTGAATGACATGTCATTCACTGTATGACTGCTCCAGCTTTCCTGAAGGTCTGACATTTTCAGGATAAAAAGCTAGAAGAAAAAGGGGGGCCATCACATCCCCTGTCTCCTAAGGAAAAACACCCGCGTGCCACGCGGCTTTGCAGGAGAGGTTTGCTTCGAGTCAAGCGTCCGTTTTCAGAAGAGTGATTCTAAAGTTAAGTCAGTAAGTGTCAATGTTCTCAACACCAGACCTTTTCTGGCCTACCATATACTCCTGATCAACTTCTGAAATGACGTGGGTAGAGGTGGGCCCCCTGGAGAGAGTGTCTCCATGTTGAGGCCACTACTTCTCAGGGCGAGCAGCAGTTAGGATGTCCCCGGCCACCCCCGTGAGACCTGGGGCCCTGTCCTTCCAGGTCGTGGGCACCTCCGCTGACCTGTCCACCTCCTCCCCAGCCAGGACGGGCCCTGCGTCTGTCCGTACCTCCCCGTCGATGTACTTCTCCAGGCAGATGGCGCAGTCGGACGTGGAGCTGCTGCTGAGCGTGTCCAGCGCCCCACAACTCCCCTCCCGGCGCCCCTTGCTCTTGGAGTTGAACTTCCTGGTTTCCATCTTCTGTAGAGCTTGGATAGCCAGCCTGTTCATGGAATTCTGTGTGGCGGAACGTGGTCCAGGTTAGGGCCCGGGACGTACTAACTGGGAGTCACCCCTAGAGCCACGGGGACGGCCATAGCGCTCGTCCTCTATCGGACCAGAACAGGCTTCTGAGAGCACTGGACACTCAGACTGCCGCGGCACAGGTTTTCCAGACTCCTGAGGGTCATCAGTCTGGACCCAGGCTTCTCCCAAGTGGCAGTCCCAGCAGAGGTCGCCTTCAATTAGTTGGTCGGACTCTGCAAGACCCTGAGTTACTGGCCTGCTCGATGCCTCGGGTTCCTCTTTTTTTTTTTTTTTTTAAGATTTTATTTATTTATTTGACAGAGAAAGACACAGCGAGAGAGGGAACACAAACGGGGAGAGGGAGAAGCAGACTCCCTGCCGAGCAGGGAGCCCGATGCGGGACTCGATCCCGGGACTCCAGGATCATGACCTGAGCCGAAGGCAGTCGCTTAACCAACTGAGCCACCCAGGCGCCCTCGGGTTCCTCCTCTTTACCCTGAAGAAAGTTCCGAGGGCAAATGAGACAACGCGCCCGGGTGCCGGCCAAACGCAGCCACTGCTCTGTTGGGCTGGTGATGGTCACTCACTTGGCGAGCAGTGGGCGATCCTCTCGACAGATTGCCTATCGGCGTCCACTGTGTCTCCTGAGAGGTCACGCTACACGGGGCACGTCTAGATTCCCACCTACCCCCGCCATCAACTTCTGCCCCCAAACCTGCCCTCCTACGAGCACGGTGATGTGCCACTGGGGCACGAAAGGGGCTACTCTGTTTACTGGGAATCGTCCAGACAGCTTGGAAGATGCAGCTTCCGGCTCAGCAGGTCTGGGGTATGGCTTGAGGGTCTGCATTTCTACCAAGCTCCCAGGGGATACTGCCGGTGCCCGGGTCATATCTGAGGAGCAAGGCTCTAGGGCTCCGTGTGAACGCTGAGACATTTTGTGAGAAAACCCCCTAGCTGGAAGCCCTCCCAGTGCTCGGCCTTTGTGGTTCTGGCCCTTTTGGAACAGAGAAGACATAGGGTGATGAGCTTTGCTCTCATTTTCCTCCATCTCCGCCACGCCCAGGTCACCAGGACCAGGCTGTGGAGCTCGGGCCCCCACCCTGGTTTCCACGAGGGACAGGCGGCGGGGCACCTGCGCTGGTGGGCAGCTCCGAGGTATTACCTGACTGCGTCGCTGCTTCAGCTTGATTTTGACAAGGAGGATGAGGCAGACCAAGGAGACGACGACGAAGAACGCCAGGAAAATCCCCATGTCGAAGTACTCAGTGGGTTGCTGGAACAGAACACAGACACGATGAGTCACAGGTCTCTTCAGCCTGGGGATCGGCACACGGGTTGGGATAAGGTTGGGGCAACTCGGGTGTGTCCCTCCCCTCGTCTGCAGGCAACACCTGGGCTTCTGCTAACCTGCACACGTGCTGTGCTCTCCGGGCCCAGGCAGCCCCCCACGGTGTGGCTAGGGGGAGGCCTGCTGCAGTCTCGGCCGGGCCTCCTCTCGGCCAAGAGCCCACGCGTCAGAACGCCTAGCTCCCCATGGAAGAGCGCAAAGTTCGCTGTAACCGGCATGAGAGGCCCATCCAAATAAACACAAATATCATATTTATGGGACAAAGGAGTGAGTGTCATGTTTTGAGGGAACAGTGATTACTAACCATATAATTAATGGTGTACAACAACTCAGAAAATTGTATGCTGCTTCCACAAAGATCAGCTTCCACTACAATGAGTCACATTTACCAAAGCGCGCTTTTTTCCTTTAAAAAGAAGCCAGCGAAGGCGGTTCTTCTGCACATCCCTTCTACTCTGAGTTCTTATCTTTTCCTCGGGACACACTGCCTCCGAAAATCTTGAAGCCGTTTCATCTAGGACATGCGGGTAGCCAAGAGGAATAGAGTTTTGCTAATAGAATGCTGCGGGTATCTAGATATTTTGTGCGTGCAAAAGAATCATCCCATATGTGAATATTTGTGATATGGAAATAAACCACACATATATATAAAACCTGCCCCAGGTTCCCAGAACCTTCAGCCTGAGGTTTGGGCAGAAGATGCCAGTTAAGAGTCAATGGCCAGCAGTGTCCCTTTGACATGCTCAAGAGAAGCCTTCATCAACCACCTGCAAGGCATAAACTTCAATCCTAGTTGAAAGCTAAGTGTTCCAGATTCAAATATAAGTTAGGGGTTTTCAGTATGTGGGCTGCCGAAGCGAGCACTAAGTTAGGGGTTTTCAATAATGCAATTTACCCTCCGGGAAAAAGAAAGTACAGGCCTCTTTCTCTAGTCTGGGACAAATGGAAGGAGGGGGACACAGGAAGCCGGGTACTCCTTCCTTCAATCCTCCTCAGCCTTTCAGAGGGAGGCAGGACAGAAGAGAAAGAAGGACAGGAGGCTACCAAGAGGGAATGCCGGGTGGAAGAGACTAGAGACGCTTTAGCACAAAATCATCTATTTCTGGAAGGTCTTTTCGAATCCTCTCTAAAGGAACATGGGTGGGGGTTGCCTGGCTGGCTCAGTCAAACGTCTGGCTCTTGATTTTGGCTCAGGTCATGATCTCAGGATAGTGAGATCGAGCTCCGCATCAGGCTCTGCGCTCAGTGTGGAGTCTGCTTGAGACTCTCTCTCTCCCTCTGAGCCCCACCCCCCCATTCGTGCACACTCTCTGTCTCTCTCAAATCTTTAAAAAATAAAGAGACATGGGTAACATTTCTCCTTCGCCTCCAGCCTTACGTTTGATCTAAACTGTAGGAACCTAGGCTGTATCAGCATTTGACACAGAAAGAAGACAGGAACAAAAGCCCAAAGCCCAAAGGGAATAAAGGCACAGGGAGCAGCAGAGAGGGTGCCCGGCGAGGCTCACTCGAGGGGGCCGGTGCTGAATCCTCGCTCGAGCTACTTTCTGCTTGTTGACAATGTTCATCAGCTTGATGGCATCTGCACCCTTCACGTACACCACTGGCCTCTTGAGCGGGTCTTCTGAGCCCTGGTTTAGCTGAGGAAGAAAAGACGGTTCTGGTTAAAAGACACTCTTGCTTTAAGAAGCAAGAGAGACGGAGAGAGGCTGAAGGAAAAGAACAGCAAATGCCATTTGAAAATCCTCAAAGTCCTCAAGCGTTATAGCCTTGGAGCTTCTGAAGGACAAGGCGGAGAATGATGCTTGTTTTAGGACGGACTGGGCAGGCTGAAGGCCCAGAAGGGTCTTTGAAGATGCCCCCCAACCACCAACTTCCTGGCTCTTCATGCCTACTCAATACCCTTGCCTCGGAGTAGGAATGATGTCTAAACATGGGTTTCTAGCGTCAGCAGACAAGTGCCGAGCCCCGAGGCGAGGGGGATGCCCCTGTGACGAGCCCAGCTAACTAACAGTGCTTCTGTCGGGGGGATGGCCACGCCGCGTGCCCCACGCGGTTTACCTGGTCAATAGCTTCTGGGTTTTCCGACACATCAAAGATGACCGCAGTAGCTCCCCGCTGCACCGCCCGCTTGGCCTGGCAGAGTTAAAAAGAACAGGTTGGCACTCTTGGTCCTCTTACCTTGCCAAAGCTGGCCTTGGAAATCAGACCTGTATTCGAATGCAGAATCTGACAGTCACCAACTTCCAGGACTCTGGGCAAGTTACTAACTTCCCGAAGCCTCAACTTTCCCATCTGTAAGAAAAGGGACAATGCCGCCTACATTGTACGGCTAATCTGAGAACCAGACGAGTCAGAATAGGTGAAAATTAGGAACTGGGTACTCGATTAACCTCTGTCTCCCTGTCCGGCCAAACATTAAAAACACATCAACGACCTGCCCAGTCAGCACGAAGGTATTGGTTTCAGTATTTTCTGCTGTGAACACAGAGCCCCTGGCAACCCAAGTAAATGCCTTTGGTCCTTCTCTTGTGGTCCTTCTTCCTTCCCATGTCAGCCAGGACTGCAGTTAGAACAGCACACCAAATATTTCCAAAGGAATCTCAAAATGGTCAATTTTAATAACTGACATAAGCTGAAAACCTTTGGAGATGCTGTCAGCTATGAAAAAAAAATTGTAAATGGGGATTTAGAGCAGTTGGCTGACAAACCTGGCTACACATCAAAAACCACTTGGGAAGTTTGTAAAGCAGATTTCCTGGCTCAAACCACAGAGACTGATTCAGCAGGGCTGGAGGAAGGCCCAGGAAACGGAGTTCTGGAAGTTTTCTGAGGGATTCAGATGATTCAACCACTTGGGGAACTCTGGATCAGAGAGCTGAGATGAGGATGTTTTAGGAACAAATGTAAAGTGGTGGGATTCTGTTTTGAGGGAGGATTCTTTTCTATCCCAGCGAACCTTCTAATTTCATGTCCAGCTAAGCAGACAACAGGATGAAAGCTGTGGAAGCACAAGACATAAGACATAACCCTTGCTTTTAGGAACGTGAATTTTATTAGAGAAGTAAGATACCTCTAAGGTGGGGGATAAACAACAACAACAAAATAAAATGCCAAACCTCCTACAAGATGGGCAAATAATGGCTGGTGTTCAGAGATCAACTCTATGAGCCAGAATGCGTGACAAAGAATAAAATTTGAATTGAAGGCATTCCTACTGAGGAAATAATCACTACGGGGATACAGCATAAGAAGGCAACACTGAACCTAAGGAGATGTGAAAGCAGCTGGACCAATGGCTTCACAAGCCCACTAGAGGGCAGTCTTATCCCACAGCTTTTACCAGACCAGTCCCTGCACCGTGTACCAAAGACGCAGGACTGTGAAATCCTCCGGATACTGCAAAGTCCCCAGCAACTTAATGAGCCCGGGGAGCCCTGTGTGCTATGCTGCAGAAGCTGTCCTTCTTCCCCTGGGACTCTTTCTTGTTGAACTGAGACTCAATTTCAAGTCCCTTCTACCGCTTGTCCATCCCACCCCACTGCCTCACCAGCAAGCTGCAGTCGGGACTGACAAGTTGCCAACGGTAGGCAAGTCACTGAATCTGAGTCCCAGTCTCAGTTTCCCCACCTGTAAGAGGAGGAGGAAGCCAGTTATTACCACTAGGGTCCCTTCCAGTTCCCAATCTTGGCCACTCAATGGAGAGGCAGGGGACTGTCCAGAGCAATGAAGAAAGAGCCACAGTGGCCCTATCACCCACCTCCAGCAGGAGAGGACATGATGGCCCAGTGAGAAAGTTTGAGGCCAGGGGGTGTCACCTTGCTCCAAAAGGCTCTTAGGGGCACAGACCCCCTTGCCTGAAGCCAACAGTCCGTGGGCCCCAGAGTTAATAGGAAATAGGCGCTGTGTCTTCTACTCAGGTGAAACCGTAGTCTTCACAAATTTTCCCTAGATATAGAAGGGCCCCAAGGAACAGCACTGAAAACAGGTAATCAACAGGATCTCTTGTTCCTTTATTTGGCTTTCATTCCACCATCAAGCATATCAACCAGCACCTGAGGGAACTGTGCATTCAGATCCCTCCCAATCAGGAGCACTGAACACCTCCGGCTTTGATGCTGGTGCTCCTGGAGAGCCTGATGGCCCCCGATGAAAGGCAGGACCTGGGGTAGTGTGGTCTTCAGCCATGGGGCTGGTCACACTTCCAGGCTTCCCATGTCCAAAGGAACGTGGAGGTCTCAAGGATCTGGAGGTGACGCGTGACCCATCCGGGACAGGCACTTTTTAAAAGGCATTTTAAACAAAATCTAGGATGGTTGAAGGGTCTCTCCTGGTTTCTATAGTAAAAACAGCAGGCCAAGAATAAGGTGCTTAAAACCCATTTACCATCCCCATTTAACAGACTCATACACAACCAGACTAATACACAGGATCCAAGTACAAAAATTTTGTTTGAGAAAATGAGAATTCTCACAGTTGACTTACTTTAAAAATTAATGGAAGCTTCTATTAAAATAAGGTTGTTTTTCCTGTCCATACCAGGACTAGACAGGAGGGGAGTCAACCCAGGGTCCTGTTGAGAACTGGCCTGTCAGGAGCCAACCCAGGATTTAAAATAGGCCATGAAGAATCCAGATTTAGGAAATGACAAATTTATTATACTATTCCCAAAGCAAATTAAAAAACACAGAACACTACTTGGTCACACTTTCCCCCTCACCTCACATTTTCAGTTTAAAAATAGACGAGGCATATTCCTGAACCAATCTCCACATCTGAGATCATTTCATCATTTTACCTAGTCAAGCCTGGGCCCAAATCTTGTTTCTTTTTTTTTTTTTTTTCTTAAGTAGGCTCCACGCCCAGCGTGGAGCCCAACAAAGCGCTTGAACTCACAACTCTGAGATCAAGACCTGAGCTGAGATCAAGAGTCCAACGCTTAACCAACTGAGGCACCCAGGCGCCCTCCCCCCCCCACCCCTAAATACCGATTCAAAACAAATCTAAACCATAGATTGGGAGATTACATAGTTGGGAATTAGTGGTCTTGTGATCATCAGAAACCCTATCTTTACAAAGTCACAAAAGTCTCAAGATAAGGCTGTTTCAAAGAAAGAATGGAGGCCACCTGGGTGGCTCAGTTGGTTAAGCGACTGCCTTCGGCTCAGGTCGTGATCCTGGAGTCCCGGGATCGAGTCCCGCATCGGGCTCCCTGCTCGGCGGGGAGTCTGCTTCTCCCTCGGACCCTTTCACTTCTCATTCTCTCTCTCAAATAAATAAATAAAATCTTTTAAAAAATAAAAAATAAAAAAAAATAAAAAGAAAGAATGGAAAAAGACGCGGGCTGGGGGGGCGGGGGGGATGAGGCTAGATGAAGGTCACTGGTAAATTGGGCCACAGTCACGGAGGGCAGTTACCCTTGAACTGTGCACAGACTGGTGTAGAAAGAAGGGCATGAGAAGGGTGTGAAGAGCAGAAAACAGGTACGAAGTCTTGGGAAGGCCTCCTCAAAGCAGCCCAAGGCCCTGCCTGCCTTTCCTGCCCTCTGCATGCCCGCCCCCCAGCCTTCATCACCTCTGCTGCCTCAGTCAGGCAGGGGCAGGTGGGCAGGTCAACACCAGCCAGCAGGTGACTGGAAGCCCAGCAGTAGACTATGGAACAAAAGGTTGTCATGGTCCTTTATTCACCTTTCCAGGGCTGCAGGATCCAAGGCTAGCCAATGTCCATAGCCCGGACACGACTATCAAAAGTGCAAACATCTGCACACTTAGATTTCCCAAAGTAGAGAATTTCAAGCCCCAGGAGACAGGGTCCTACTGTGGTTGGCACTTACTTCAATGCAAGTCTCCTATGGTTATTCCATAAACGTTTATTCTATGGTCTGCGTGGGACCATACTCGTGGGTTGCTGCTCCCTGAACGTGGATGTGGTTTTCCCAGGAGGAAAGAGCTTCTATCCATATGTTTGAGTCTCGAATTTCCGGATGGGAATGAGGCATTCTGATGAGAATAGTCCCACCACCACCTTGTGGGTGGGAGAAGTCAAAACCTCCCGTTTGCTTTAGTTTCAATTAAATTCTGGAATTCCAATCAGGAACGGATCTGGGCTCTCCCCAGAGTGTGCAAGTTACACCCAGACTTGGTAACTCCCAGCAGCCCCCGGGGAATAGACTCCTTTTTCACCCTTGTTTATCTGTTGGTCTAGCGCTGCATGTGGTGGCCCCAGTGCCTAATATTTATTGCAGGAAATCTTTGACAGAATACCATCTTAATCGGAGATAACCCAAAAGATGACTAAAAGTCTCCTTTGTCCCCAACTCCTGACCATATGATAACCAAGGAAGTTGGATTGTTAGTGCTGATACGGGACCTGTGTCTTCAACCTCTTCTAGGAAGTTTTGACATATGGAGGCTCCAGACTTTTTTTTTTTTTCATTTTTGTTTTGTTTTTACACTTATCATAAGCTTCCAACAAGTCATTAAAAATTTCTTATAGACACCTTTAAGGCTGTGAAATATCCATTCACATACTCTATTCACTCATGTATTTTTGTTATTTGAACTATTCCAGTTTTTTATTATAATAATTAAGGCTACACTGAACAAATTGTGGCTTACCTTCCAATTTCCTTAGAAGGGAGGCCCAGGGCCAAAAAATATGAAGATAATCGTAAGAGTCATAATAAAATCCACTTAATGCCCCTCCTTATAAACCCACTCAACTCTTACCTGTAATGACAAAATAGGATGGCGCAGATATTACAAGACAAATTTGTCGACACATTTAACTTCTGGGTAAAGTGACCTGTGGTGAGCTGGCTAGGAGAAGGAAGTCCGTTTGAGAGTAACTCTTTGCATATGCTTCATATGCAGAAAGATACTCCAGTGTGAACTACCATGTGTTGATCATACCTACTGATTCTTCAAGGTCAAATTCATGTGCCTCCCCTCCCATAAGATTGACAAGTTCTTCTCTATAGCCTAAAGCAGCTCTTATCCCTCTCTGGGCCCGAGTATTTCTAAGGATTTCTCTTCCGCTGCTTACCACTTTCTATGATGCATTTTCCCCTCAACACCATCTTTCATGTTTTTGCTATTCATAAAAGGAAAATGTGCTTAATGTGAATACTTTTAAAT